ACAGGAATAGGTTGAATGGAATCAGGGGCCTTTACAACAACAGGAGCACCAAAGGTGTCTCGGAAAGTGAGGTCATTCCGTTGGTCTGCTGCCATGTGTTACCCACCATCCACGCAAAGCTAACTGAGGATTTGGATTAACAGGACTTGAAACACATGCATGATTTTGCACACAATTACAAAATTCATCAGTCCCTGCACAAGAGATGCTGTTGTCTTTTACAGGTGTGGCTGGTCTGAGAATCAGACCAAAGCAGTTGTGTCTCCAAAATGAATCTTCTTACATGAGATCTGCCCTGGATGGACTGGTCTGCCACTCCATGCATTAGGCTCATGATTCAAACATTGCAGTTGTTTGAACACTGCTGGTTGTTGCTTTAATTTCCTACGGGAATAAAGGTCATGTAAACATACTCAGCGTTTCTTACAACTGCTAAAATAATGATCTGCAAAACTGCTTACACTCATCTTGCACTTACAGCCTGCACGCTGTGGGTCAGGCAATGAAATCACAAAAGCTAAAGTTGTTAGAAGACACACCCACCCATAAGACAGTTTTAACATTCATTTCTACATAGCTTTTTTTTTTCCCCACATACACATACTATCTTAGCTTCATTTTACCAAGTTTTCTTCAAAGCTTGTTTTTTTTCCAGTGAGTTTTTTTTTTCAAGAGATGAAAAAAAAATATATTTTCTTAAGCCATGAACATTTCAGTCAGATGAAGGTAGAAAGGTCACTGGCAAAAGCAGATGAAAGGCTGGCCACCAGGTTTGGGCACCCTACCTTGTGCTGATGGCACCTGCCCCCACAAAGAGCTCCAAGCTTTCTTGGGCAGTACTTGCACAGGAATGTATTTAGATCCTCAGCATTGTTAAGAACCCGTTTCTTTCTACAAATTTCTTTCCACAATTGTAAGAACAGCACGAACAGGAGTGCCAGACCTTACAGTAAGCTCTCTGGCTTCATAAGCAACCTAGTGCTATCTAGTTTGCTGCGGTACTGTACGCACCTTTACAGACTCATTGATCTCGTACTACATCCATCCTCCGGCATCTGACCTGTGTATTAAGGGAGATTTTGAAGATGCAAATGGGAGCTGGACTTTTGAATGCCCTGGCTTTCAGTGGGAGACTGGTTTCTAACTTCCCATGTGATTTTGAAAGTTTCCCTTCCAGCACGTCCTCCTAAACAGATTCCCCCAACCTCCATGTTTGGATTTACACTGTTAATTTACTTGTGTTTTATTTGGAAAACTCTAGTGCCTTTTCAGTCTTCTATACATGTGTACATAGATGCATTCTGTAAGTATGGGATATGTCATACACAGCCAGTGTTTGCTATCAACAACTGTATGCATTAAACATTTACATACACAGTTTTTAGGCTTTTAACCTTCTGATGTATGGATTTTGTATCCAATTATTAACACTCAGCTCCTTTCCGTTTCCACAATAAATCAGAGTGATTCGTTTGGTTTTGTTTATTTCTGGAAGCACTCAAAATCACAATAAAACTTCACATTTGTACAGCATCGTTTGTTTTCTACCTTCAAAAGAATGCTCTCCATGAGTTTATACACGTGCCTAAGACCTTTTTGCTCAGGGCCTGATCCAGTCCAATACCAACTGTCCCTAAATCCTGTGACGCTGGTAGGCTCTGATAAGAAGCCTGCACGTAAACTCCAAGTAGCAGAGAAGATGACCCCAGACTGTGTAAAGTTACAGTCCTGGTTCTTCTTCTTTAGAGTGATGCTTTGCACTGTAATTCAGACCAATTTCTTGGAGGTTAACCCAAAGCCCAGCCTGGGACGACGCTGGTTTTAGAAGTGTGTTGGCGGGTCTGCGTGGATTACGGATAGAGACAAGTTCTGCCTGTGAGCACGTCCAGATTAAGAGCTTTGGAGACTGAAGCCTTTAATAGTTTTTAAGGATGCTGATAATTCCTGGTAGGGTGAAGCAGCAAGAAGGTAAACTTCAGTCAGAAACAGACAGAATAGTGAGAAGGCAAGAAGAAAGATCAGTGATCTCTCTTCTTCTCCAGTAAAAGCATATTCTCACGATCATCACATCATTAGATGTCTCTCTCTACACGTTGCACACCCAAGCAAGAGACTCTCTCAGTACAAACAGATGGGAGGTGAGTGTTGGTCTCTTCTCCCAGGTAACGGGCGATAGGACAAGGGGGAATGGCCTCAAGTGGTGCCAGGGGAGGTTTAGGTTGGACATTAGGAAAAATTTTTTCATGGAAAGGGTCGTCAGGCACTGGAACAGGCTGCCTAGGGAAGTGGTTGAGTCCCCATCCCTGGAGGTATTTAAAAGATGGGTAGATGAGGTGCTTAGGGCCATGGTTTACTGATGGGATGGCAGGGTTAGGTTAACGGTTGGACTTGAGGATCTTAAAGGTCTTTTCCAAGTAAATGATTCTATGATTCTAGATCCAAATTCCCTGCAAGCCCTGGTGAGTAAGTAGAAACCCTCTGGGACTCCCCTGTCCCACACTGGCTCATAGGGCAGTGTGTTATTTGGCGGAGCACAGAAGAAGGAGCGATGAGAAATGAAAAGCAAGTGAGACCGCCTGTACCACACGTTCCACAAGGGGACACAACTGGCTCAGCGGCAGCACCACACACAAGGGCTGTTCGGCCCCTGAAACAAAGCCGTGAAAAACTGAACATATTGTAGGGTGTGAAGCATGTTTTGGTCACCAAGGACTGAAAGTGTGTATATATATATATAAAAACAGGAAAACAAAGGAAAATTACAACTCCTGATGAATTTTAAGTACTTACCAAACAATTGTTGTGAAACAAGGCTCCAGCACTGTAATTCTGATGAACACGTACTACATCTGGGTGCTTTTATCCTTCCATGGGGTCTTGAGAAGCTGAGAGATAAGCCAGCATTATATTTGTGGGTTATCTTTGAGACTAAACAGCTGGAGAGGTAACTTTGCATAAGTACTCTAGAGCAATCATAAACAGCAGCACTGCATAACAGCGTACAGCTTATGGCTGTGAAGGCTACCCACAACCACATGGACTTCATTCTCTCCTAGGACTGAGGCATTTGGCTCCTCGCTACTTCTAAACAAGGAAGTTCAGATGCAGGTGCAGTTGAGAAAAATTCTTGAAGAGCTTGCCAGGTACTTTTGGCTCCCTTTAGTGCCTAAACAAAGCTCAACAAGCAGCAATCTTACCCAACTTTGGCTTAGTAGAGAATTTGGGTAAGAGCTCTTAAGAGGGATGCACTTTCGTACCCTTCATAAACCCACTGAGATCTTGTGTGGCAGCTACAAAAGAGTGGCACAGAGCCATGCTGCGATCTCGCTAGGCTGGAGCAGAGAGGCTCTGTGGAGGGCTGCTACTTTCATTTAATTCTTAAATTACAAACTGCTTGGGGAAGACTACCACAGTTAGGGTAACTTAAAAAACCATGCCAGATATTTTCATATACATGCTACTTATGAGCACAAATCATTGAAAAATCAAAGTGAGTTTTATTCCTACAGGAAAGAAATTTCTCATATATAGTATCAATGTGATAGTAAAATCCTAATGTTAAATCCCAAACTGCTTTAGTTCTGGACCTTAAGAACGAATTTTCTGAGACAAATCGTAATTAGCTTACCTGGGGAAGTTGAAAAGTCTCTGTCCTTGGAGGCTTCCAGGATTCAGCAGACGAAGCCAAGCCCACCTGATCTACTGTTGGCAATAAACCCACTTCAAGCTGGAGGTTTCAGCTGGGATAGAGACCAGGTTTAGCCTAGAGATCCTCCAGAGAGCCTTCCAAGCACCATTCCAATTATTCTATGCACTCCAACATTTTAATAGTTTAAATAGCCCGAAGGTTATAAAGCCTAGCATTAAATACCATATTTGAAAAACATTAACCCTCACAAAAAAACCTGCTTCCTATGGCAGACAGAAATGGAAAGCTTAAAACACCCTCACTCTTACATAATCCCCAAACTAGGGGGAGAAAAAAAAAATCAAACAAGCTATTCAAATGAAGTCATGCAGCACCCCGATATTAACCAAAGGACAAAAAAACTCGGTCACAATTAAATTGTTTTATTGCTATCAACTCATCTTTAATCAGTACTTCAGTCTCATTTTAATTCCAGCAATGATTACAACAGAATTAAGGTATGCTTTTAGTGCAGAAGTGTTTAATTAAATGATCTTGGCCATGATGCAGCCAGCAGGCAGCTGGTCTGGACAGAGAACCGAGAAGGCTGTAATGTACTTCAGCTTGCGGGAGACACAGCAACGCAGCACATGTTGCTGTCACTGGGATCCCAACACTCCCACCTTAAAAGCAGCAAAGCCAGAAGTTAAGCAGGTCATGCAGGAGGAAATAAAAAGCCACAGAAGCTAAGGGAATTCATAAGCTAGCTTGTTAACCCAGTCGCAATTAGTGGATTGTAAATGCGTCTGAGAATTGGCAAGGCAGGGTTTAAATTTAAAGTTAAGGAGAAAGTTCCTTTGACAAGCCTTGGACCGAATTTCAGTTGGATTTAGTAGCCAGCCTACTACCCCAGACATACCTATAGCTCAAGGCCCAACCCTCACCTGTTTCATGCATCCATCTGTCAAAACTGCCTGCTAATGAAGTCAAGGATATTGGATGTAAGGACAGACCCACTTGGAACCTGGAAGACTTGCAGTCCTGTGTCCTATTACTACAAGCAGAGGCTGAAGCATCAGAAAGCCTAAAAACTGTCGAATTACATCATCTACACTGTCTACAGGGCACACAAACAGAAGACTGCCTAGTCACACTTTTTTCCTTTCCTAAATAGCAGCTGGAGCATGCAGAAACACAGAGGGAGTGCACAGTTAAACCAAGGTAAGGAATCCGGGTTTTTTTCTAGAATTAGAAACTATACAGAAATTAATAAAATTCTGATTAGAATTCTAAAGTTTACCATTTAGGGACTGGTGCTATTAACAAGGTTTCTGAATTTATTTTGGGTATTCTGACTTCCTGGGGAATACAGTTTGCCTGACTTCTTTTCAGGAGCTTACTATAATACCTATGCTTAGGAAAACATTAACCAGTAAGCTGCTTTTTCACTCCATCTGTCCACTGACTCAGCAATTTGTAGCCAAACAAAAGATTAGTTCCTTCTCTGTGTACTCACATGGTCCTTTAACAAGCAAATTAAAAAAATTCGTAACAGGTTTGGAGACACAGACCACCACCTAGATAAAGTTTGCAACATTAGCATCTCTGGGAAGCAAAATAACAAGGATTAAACAGACTAAGCAGACGGCACACCGAAAGGACAGCTGGCAAGACTTACCAGATCTGCTGCTCAGGGTACAGGAACAAACAGGTTTGAGAAGCCAGCTACTGCACAAGCAATCCTCACTGAAAGCTTCTCGGAGCTTACTGCAGGGGTTTGCACACAACTGGTTTAAGGTTACCTTCGTTTACTGCTTCATGGTACCACGCTCACCTCTTTGTGAAAAAGATTTCCACTGGTTTAGCTCAATTTATACACATCCTTCAGATCAGTTAAGCTAGTGCAACACCTTGTGTGGACACTTGTATCGCCTTAGAGGAGAACTTAAAGGTGCACAGGCATTTTCCCCCACAGTAGTTTAAAAGTATTAATTTAAACAAATAAACGTTAAGTGGCTTCCTGATCAATGACTTCTCCACAACAAACACTTCCAAAATTTATTAGGAGGGAAGTCAATGCCTGTCAGGCCAATCAACCTTTACAGGTCACATTTCCATAGGAAGTTATCCTCCATTGCTAGAAGCTACTCTTGTCAAAACCAGGCATACACCAAACATACACCCTTCTCTCCAGTCAAACCTGCTCACGTTTTAAGCCTCTGTCTTGTCCCAAGAAAAAGTGACAGGCCAGAGAGAAACACTTCATAGATCAGATTCACAGATCACCGAGTGAACAGTGTTTATTCTAGAACAAATTTCCATGTAAATGCCACATTCCCCTGTAAGGAATATTACTGGAGCAATATATAGAAAATCACCGACAAGGGATCTAAACACTATCATTTATTCAAGACTGCCATGTAAAGACAACACATGTGAGCTCTCTTTCTGAAATTCATCACGATATTGAATACAGCAAACATTACAGGTAGATGAAATTGCACTTTTCAAAAGCAATTGTACTATTTGCTTCTCAAAGTCCAAAAAAAGTCAACATTTTTTCAGCTATGTGTTCATCCACCCCCTCTGGGATTTCAGTACAGCATCTCCATTAAGCCAATCCTACTGAGAGAGGTTTAATAAAGTTTAGTGCGATGGACATGCTCCTACACCAATGCCAGATTCTTCGTTAAGTTCTACTGGATTTATTTGTCCCTCTTCTTTCAGCTTCACCTGTCTGAAGTCTTCTCTGACTTCTTCTAGCAGACTTTGCTTGAAAATGACATCCAGTGCTGTCATGGCCAAAGCTTTTGCTGTGCGCAAAGCATAGAACTGAGCATCCTGTGACCCTGCAGAGAAAACATAAGAGAAATTTCGGGTTAGATTACTATTAGATACAAACCACTAGCTTACCACATAAAGCATATTCTATAAAATAAGATCTTCAAGTTTCAATTGCAAGAAGTGTTTCTTAAAAATCTACTTGCATGAACAAAGTATGTCTGTTTTCTGATGCCTCAAAACAAATTTTCACATGAAAGTACTTAGAACTGTCTTAAACTGTATGCTACATCAAGCTTTTAATACAAGGAGTGGTCATCTGTCCCACATACATTTAACTTTAAACACAACAATAGAAATTCTACATTTTGTCAGCTTTTTTCTGCAATTAATGAAGTAAATTATTTCAGGCTCTGCATTCAGCCCAGTTGCCATCACACGTGAAGAAAGCAACTCCATTTCCATACACAGGTATTCACACGCAGCCCTTGCAGATCTAGTACTTACACTTTTATACATTTACTACACAGTAGCTTTGAATACCATAGAAGCGTGTAAAATCTTCCATCCTCTAATTTGAAATATTTATAATTTCTAGATCTGCTGCAGTGAAGTCAGCAGCCAGTCCCTACAATGCATAAGTGTTCCAAATATAAATCTCTAACCCTTTTCAATTCCACTCACCCGCAGCTTCTGTGTACTGCTCAGTATGATTCAGTGCATCAGAGCCAATATAAAAATAAGGATGAAGCCCGGGGACAACAAATGTAACATTTCCAAAGTCCGTAGAACCTAAAAGCAGCAAAGAAATGTTCTTAATGAACAAGTGTTAAAGAGTTTTGAATGCTGTAACAAAATGTATGATAGATAGTATCTCCAGCCCATATCTAAAACAGAATATCCTTTGCCCCAAATACTAAAATAAAAGCATTTCTAATCCATACAAAAATCTCACATCACAGAGATGTTTTCCCTAACTAGCCATCTCCAGATGCTGCTCTCCAGTGCGCTTCTGATCAATAATCAGTTACTGGACTGCAAGGAAGATGTATCAGCGTGTTCCTATTCGACTTACTGTTAATTTTTTTATCAAGCATCTTCTGATAGTAAGCTGTTAATTCAGAAACAATAAAAGCTGCAAACCTTGGAGTTTCGGGCAGTCCAGCTATTTTCCTGCCACAGCCCTTAGAACCAGGCCCAACAATTACCACTTTTTACCAGTATGCAAATGTTCAGCATTAGGTAGGGGACTCTGAAGTAGGAAAAAAAAAATCTATCTTTAAACAAAAAACCAGACTGAAGACAACTATTTTTTCATGTTCTCTTTGACTATTCTCAGTTATGGAAACCTTAACAGCACAAGCATTCTAGAAAGAAAAAGATCAGAACTAAACTCCAGACAAAATGCTACTGCTTTGTAGACAAAAAAAAATTCTCGATAGCAATGCTGCAGAGTTTAATGACTCTTTCATGCCCATCTAGCACTTTGAGTATGTTAGCAAGTGATAGGACCCATCTCAAAGTACTGCCTTGTCTATTTAATTATAGCATCCAGAAGTAGTAGATCCTTCATAGTAAATATCCAAGAGCCTGCAACTACTTCCTGAGTGCCCTTTGGGGTTGTTTTTTTTTTTTTACCCAAACAAGCAGGCCACTCAGTACTTGTTAAAATGATATTTAGAAGCTGTAGAAATCAGCATGCCAGTTACCATGAAATTCAGATACCTGAGGAACCATTTTTTCATAGCAGGGAAAAATCAATTAAGACCTCAATTAACTTTTTTCTGGCCAATCAGAGCTGAAAGAATTTTTTTTTACTTTAGCAATGGCATATAAAATGACTATTCCAAAGATTTAAAATTATTTGTAACATGTCAGATAGCCTCCATATCATGATACTTTATGGAGACAAGATATTGCTAATGCCTTAAGACTTAGTAATGAAATGATTGAAGAATATAGATTTTAATTGGAAGCATACAGTTATTAAAAGTGAGTCCACAGAGCCTAACTTATGTGATCAAAGAGGACAAGACTAGCTTGCTATTTGCTCTACCTACAAATGGAAGCATGAAGTCTTGTCCAAAAAAACCAATCTTTCCCTGTAAATTCAGTATGCTTTTGAAGAAAATCTAACTCTTGGCACAGCAACAAGTTATTTTAATTTTCAGTAGCCTTCACTATTGATCCATTCTTTGGTCAGCCTGGAAAGACAAACCAGAAGTCTAGAAGTTCTGCCTACCCCAGACTAAACCAAGAATTCTGTATTTGCCTTACTAAATCCCAATATACAAGCTGCTGGAAAACTGTGTTCGTCTTTTTCCCCTGCCCTCACCCAGCGAATGAAGCATTAGCAATTTCAGTGCATCCCAGCTCTCCGTCATGTAATTCTACTTAAAATTATATCCGTATCTAATCTACTACCGGTTTGCAAGTTATTTTTGCTGTATGCAAGGGACTTAAACTTGGCATTTTCTAGTAAGATGGAGAGCTTACCAAGCCAAAATCCAGGCAGCTTTATTAAAAGTGTGACAGTCAAATCTTCCCCTCTATCATACCTAGTGGCATATTTAATCAGGCTTTCCAACAGTTTCCATACAAATATCTGGAACTCTATGTCTGACACATGTACAGATCAGGTTTCCTTCTAGAAGCATAAACAATTGCAGAGTTATCAATGCAGTCTACAGACTTGTGCACCATCTTCAATAGAAATGTACTGGGAGCTCCAGCCTCTCAAAAATATCCTGAAGCTGACACTGAAGCCTCTTCAAGTCACTGAGCACATAACAGAAGCCAGTATTACCACAATCATGAATGGAGGGGAAAACGCAAAAGATTCCAGGAGGCATTTCTATACAGCCCCAAGCTTCAAAAGTGGTATTTTCAAAACATACTGGCTCCTTCTTATGATTACCTGTATCAGTCTTGCGCACATGAAGCCAGCAAACCCCACGAATGCTAAAAATGTCAGAGTAAGTTATCACACTCTTGGGTGCCTCAACTAAGGCATGCTAAACTAAGCCCTCTTTGCTTAGGGAGGCTACCAATACCTTGCAGTAGAGCTTGCACTACCAGCAGAAGGAGAAATAGGTCGTGGCACCTGGTCAAAGCTACCTCAGATTCACATTATTTCACATCATCCTGGCTGTATGCCAAATGTGTGCACAAGGCACACACGAGGCAGTGTGATTTGGACTAAAGGAATTCTTCGTAGTTCTTAGCTGCCTAGAGCAATACCTGTAAGCAGACCGATACTAATACCCATGTAGAGGTGGCAGCGAGTATGCTCATCTGTTAACGACTTTTCTGCTGCACAGACATGAAGAAGCAACTGAGCTATCTTCCTTCCCTTTCAACAGAAGAAACTGATATCCTAAAAGAAAACATTGAAAACCATATGAAAACTAAACAGAAACAGAGGTCTTGAAAAAGACGAGACAAAGCACTCAACCCTTCCCAAAAAGAGTAGCATACAAAATTCCACTCCTATGTCTCTGGAGACTGTCCTTTATCACTCCTGAATCCCCACTGCAAAAATTCAGAGAAGCAGCTGTGGAAAGAAAATTCAGTAAGGCCTACTGCAGTGTGCAATAAGAACGTAATTGCTTAAGCATATTTTGACATTCGACAAGCAATTTAAGGACAGGACAGGCATATGAGGAGTTTCAGTTTAAGCAAGTTATGTTTAATATTTAGCATATCATGTAACTTATATATGAAAGCACTATTACAATTAGGTGTCTGTACTAAGTTCATTCAAAGTCCTCTGGACCAGCATGATCACCAGTATTTGTGATCTTCACCCTTAATACAATGGTTTGAGGGAAGCAACGCAGAGCTCCAGAAAGTTTCACTACAGTAAACATCCTAAATAAGATTCATCAGCACCTTTCTTAGGCTAAATGAGCAAAGTAGTAAGTCTTACTTGTACCACACTGAATAAAGAAAAACAGAAATCTGCCTTCAGTTATAATTTGTGTTTAAACCCAAGACAATAAACCAATTGGAGAAAATATGCTAGTGTTGTCTTAATTTGGAAGGGAAGTAAGAAGAAAGAAAACCCACCAGAATACCAGTAGATATGCTGTCTCGCCCACACAAATAGAAGTTTGGAGTACTCTTACCCCCAAACACCAAGATCTTAAGTATCCAAAGATAATCTGCATTTAACATAGAGAAGATCAGTACCACAGTCAAACTAATTGGAGTAACATCTTTTTTTTTTACTAAAACCAATCTTTTTTCCTTGTAACCAAAGGGAAAAACCTTTAACGTGAGTGGAGTGTATGATCAGTAGCGAAGGCTATAAAGTATTAGCAGTTTTAAGACTTGAACAGAGCTCCTGTAAGAGATTCTGGGAAAACACCCAACTGTTAAGTTTAATGAGAAACCTACCTGAGCATTCAAGAAATCACACTCCTATTACTACACCTCTGGGAGAACAAAAAAGTGTAAAGTTTGAGGCATGGTCAAGACCCAGAAATGAACACCTACTTGAATGGCACCCTTTGGAAAACTAATCTGTTGAACTCATGAACTAAAATTAGAGACACAGAATTACCTGTTAAAAGAGGTTTAAATTAGGGTTACTGATATGCTTAGACTAAAATCTCTTCAAAAACTCCCTCTAAAATAGTAGTTAGATGCTAGTATATTTGTTTATATGTAAACTTGGAAAATATTGTTAAACAAGGTTCCTAAAAACTCAATCTCATCTTCATTCATAACATAAACAAGGATTCCATATTTCAAAGCAACAGAATGAGCCACAATTCATTCCACATCCTCATGTTCTCAGTAAGACAGGTCTTATCTTTCCATCCCTCCCCCCAACCATTTCTTACTCAAAGTATTTTCAGAAATATTATCAGAAAATGGTTACTGCTTTCCATATGTGTTGGGAAAATTTTTCAGCTTCTACAACAAATGCAGAAATACAGGCCAGAGGTACGATTGTTTCATAAAGCTTCCATTTTCTAATTTTGCTTTTTTCTTTTGGCCAAACCATGTTTAACCTACCTCTATATCATTATTTTATACACTTAAGAGCGATCAATCTAAGCTTAAGTCATAACAAAAAAAAAACCCAGATGAAGTTACCTGACAAGCCATTCAGGACACTGTCTTCTGATATAAACTCCATCCCAAGCTTCTTTCCATTCTCCTTGTAGACTTTCTGCAGGCTCCTATTCGGAAGCACATTGTAGTAATCATTTTCACCACCTTTTATTTCCACCTAGACAAAAAACCCAAATTATTAGAAATTTTTCACCAACCTAAGTCAGTTTAATGTAAAAGCCCATTTAAGCAGTTTAATTTAAAGCCCAGAAAAGTTAAATACACGTCCATACTTCAAGCCCATGTTAAAACAGACATAGGTGCTAAGTTTCTTTTACAAATATAACATTCTGCCAAATATTTGCCTTTATCAAAACATAGCTGTGTTCTGTCAAGCTTGCACTAGACAGCCAAATTCCAGAAGCATGAATCTCACAGACAGTATCTCCAAATATGGTAAGCAAACATTTCCTGTAACAGCCTCTAATGATTTTCACTGCAGGTACTATTAAACTACATAGAAATCAATTCAGTCTTTCACCAAATTCTATTTTACTATTTTTGTTTAGAACACTTCCAGTAACTACAGCCTCATTCATGAAATGCCTTCACACAGGCAAGAAGTCTGAGAACAAATATAAGAAACATACCAACGTCAAGTTTCAAAAGAGATCTTAACTTTCATTCTGCATAAAGTAGACTTTCCGAAATCCTTTTCTAGTTAGAGTGGAGGGGCCATGATGGGGAAACAGCATCTAATGCCTTCAATAGACTTTAAAATTCACCAGCTCACATTCATATATACTATACATCTTTGTTCTGATGAGCAGACATCCTTTTCACAGCTGTATTAACCATCAACCTGTAACTACAGAGCAGGTAGGACCACCTAAGCAATACACTGCAAGGTAATGATATTGCTGGAACCAGCTACGAGAGAGACTTCCACTTACTAAAAGCAAAAACACGAGAAGAACGCTAATTCAAAGAATCATTACGGTTTTCATAATTGGTTGCTACATGAGCCCGTTGTTTAATGGGGCAAAGGAAATAGAGGGATGCTCCAGCTCACTGAAAAAGAGTTAGAAGTCACACACATCTTGAAGGGCCAGGAGGAAGATCTTGGCAATTACAAACTGGTCAGACCATCCTATCCTTGAGCTCCTGGGAAGATTATAGAGCAAATAAATCCTCTTAAGACCCATGTCCAGGCACATGAATCACAAGGCAATTGCGACTATCCACGACTATAGATTCACAGAAGAGCAGATAGTGCATGACCAAGCTTAGCTTTTCACGATGACAAGGTCTGGCTCAGTGAACACAGAAGACATTCAGGCTCGTGGCATAAAAATCCAAATTGCTGCCTATTACTTGTAGCATCCACCTACAATCAATACTGGTGCCATTACTGGTTTAGTATCTTCATTGTTGTTGCAGACAACTCCTGTGAGACCACAGCTGGTGTATTGTGTTCAGTTTTGAGCTCCTGAACTCAAGACATGAGCAAGTGCAGGGGAAGGCACCTAATCATTAGGGTGCTGGAGAACTGAAAAGGAAAGGCTGAAAGAACTTGATTTGCTGAGCCTTCAGAAAAGAAAGTTAAGCTGTCCACAGCTACCAGATGAGGGTAGAGAGAATACAGAACCAGAATTCACAGAGATGCCCAGTAATACGACAAGAAGCAACAAAGGGAATTCCTATTAGATACAACAGAATCACAGAAGTTGGTTGAAGTTGGAAAGCACCTCTGGAGGTCATCTTCTCCGACCCCCCTGCTCAAGCAGGATCACCTAGAGCTGGTTGCCCAAGACTGTATCAATGAAGCTTTTGAGTATCTCCAAGGACGGAAACCCCACAATCTCTCCAGGCAACCTGTTCCAGTGCTCAGTTATCACAGTATAAATATCAGGAAAACCTTTGTTCTCCATGAGGTGGGCTTTCAGTACCTAAAGGGGGCCTATAGGAAAGAGGGGGAAAACCTTTTTAGTAGGGCCAGCTGCGTTAGGACAAGGGGTAATGGTTTTAAACTAAATCGGGGTAGGTTTAGGCTAGATATAAGGAAAAAATTCTTTACAATGAGGGTGGTAAACCACTGGAACAGGTTGCCCAGAGAGGTAGTGGAGGCCCCATCCCTGGAAACATTCAAGGCCAGGTTGGATGGGGCTCTGAGCAACCTGATCTAGTTGGCGGTGTCCCTGCTGACTGCAGGGGGGTTGGACTCGATGACCTCTAGTGGTCCCTTCCAACCCAAAACATTCTATGATTCTATGATTCTATGATCCTTGGAGATACTGAGAAGCCCAGATGGTACTGAACTGTCTGGTCTAACTGGTCCTGCTCTGAACAGAGGGTTAGACTAGATGACCTCTGGAGGTCTCTCCCAACCTAGATTATTCTGTGATTCTGTGGCATTCTATTCATAAAACAGAGCTTTCTTTCAGGATGCAAAGCAACAGAATAGCAAATAGTAGCATCAACATTTTGATTTCTTTCAGCTAAACACCATGCAGACAAATGCTGTAAGCCTTGGTTTCCTATTCTGGCCTACCTATCTCCAGCGTAACAGAAACACGTGAGCACAAATACATTCTTACTTTGCATCCTGTGGCCAGTGCTGCAGATTTGAAGCAGTTCTCAACCTTCTCTGTCAGAACAGAAAGATCTTTCATTGAAGGAGCACGCAAGTAAAACTCTAGTTCAGTGTAAGAAGGAATGATGTTAGGCTTCACACCACCATTTTTTATTACACCTGCAAAAAGGGAAAAGTCATGTTACCAGGGTTAAATGCAAATGCTTGATCTTCAGCCCTGTCATGAAACTCCTGGCTCAAGAGCTAAATATATAAACAAAACCAAAAAAAACATCAACCAAGAATAAAATATATGACAAATGTAAAAAATACAGTATGTGGACAAATTTTCTTCATCACATCAGATTAAATGGAATGTGTACATGTTTTTCAGCACGATTTTATTGCATTCTTTGGTTATCTGTTATAAACCCAAAGACAAGCCAAACTAGTATTTGTAATTAATCCCCTGAAATTCAATGCAGAGTCGTAAAGTAATCTGGCTGCCACTGAAAAAGAAAAAAGAATTGTTATAAAGGCTACCTTGGATTCCAACTTTTAAAGACTTTCCTCAACTCAAATGTTTCCAACTTATTTTGCCAGCTTGGAGAGAAACTGAGTAAGTTGCATCTCTCAGCAATACTGGAGTGATGTGTACTGCAGTGTACAGAAAGTTCATTAGATTCATCACACTAACTCTTTAGAAATATTGGGGTGTACAATATATGTACAGTTTTATTCAAGAGTGAAGTTTGATTCAAAAGTGTTGCCTCAAGGAAATACGTGACAACTACATAGTTTTCAATTACAGCAGCAGAGGCATTACCATAAAAGACCATAATATTTAGATATTTCAACAAAAAAAAATTGTAGACCTCAACTCTACATTAGATTTCAATCCATTAACAGCTCATTGCTTTCAACAAGCTGCTTGTTCTCCTGGCCTCCTATCCTCAATTTATGTGGAATAAACCTTTTTTTTCTGTAGAACCTAAGAAACTATCTACCTTAAATGGAAATACTACACAAAGTTACTGACATGTGCCACTGAAGCTTGAAGAGACAGCACTACCAGGATGCAAATAGGCAACAAATCTTTACTTTTGGTGCAGAAAACCTACTAAGACCATGAAGTCCCTTCTCAAATAAAACCTTTCCAGTCTCAAATACAGTCAAAGTAAACAGAGCGCTGAATCAAACTATCAGTACTAGCCCATAACAAAAGGAAGGGCTCAGATGAGGGACAGACATCACAGAAAAGGAACCAGCAAATCAGCAAGTAATCAATCATGCAAATTTGCATGACATGCATCATAACATGTTTGCCCAAAACAAGTAGCTTAATGAGCTTTCATTTGTCTTCCAATGCATTTGTAAATGGAACTGGAGAGAATCTAAGAATATGCCTACACTTAAATTTCAAAGCAACTGTAATATAGACTGGACAGCAGACCTAGCTTAAAAGTAGGCTGCCTGCACACTACTAATGGCACCTACTTTGCCCTGCTTCTAGATGGAACTTTTTTTTTACAGTACAGCCTGTTTAATACAATTGCTTGAACAGAAAAAATCCACATTCCTATTTTTCAAAGGGGTAGCATTTACTCCACTCATAAGCAGGCAAGAAAGAAACTTATCAAATCTTAGACAAACAATCAACATTGTTCAAGTACATAAAACATCGCTTAGAACTTCTAACTTCAAGTACCTGAAATTATTTCATTTCTTGTTAGTGGGTTAACATTAAGATTTTTATGATCACTTAAGTCAGCCATGGCTGTTACTGCAAGCCTGCAACACAAGACCTCTAATACACTATTATAAAGAAAGCATTCCTAAAATTAAATCTCATTCCAGCTGCTTATACTTTCCTAAAGGTATTTAAAATATTTCCAGTTTGAAAACCAGGTTTATGACAGCAGTTGTATCACAGTAATTTAAGTTTTGCTGTGGTTCAGGAAGTGTTACCTCTGGGAGGGTTGCTTAGATGCTTAGCTTTTTGCCTACATTACCCATGTAGCCTTTAGACACTATGAAGAAAGCAGTATTTAGGGTTTTAAGCTTAGATCCAACAGAAGACTTAGGCACGTCCAATCTTAAACCTGCAACACATGAGTTTCAGACACCAAAATTCATAATTAAGTGCCTTGTTTCCTACAGAGCAATAGGGTAGAGCACTAAGGCTATGCCCACTGTCTGAAATTCATTTGGGTATGCTGCACAGCAAACATCTTCATCTACAGTCAAAAGGGTAAGGGCTTCCAGACTCCATCCAGGTATCCCGGAGATAAATACACACATGTATTATATAGCACAAGCAGCCAAGACATACAATCATCAGAACTTCTGGAAGTGTCTTAAGCTCATAACAAGTATTCCAAATAAACAGTTCTACATTCAGAAGTCCCGTAGAAATGGCAAAGTTCCTTAATTTCAACTTGGAAAAAGTTGTGTTGGATGTAATAAGGAAAGCCTGGGTTTAAAGGGCAGCTTCCCTCTCAACTTCTGAAACAAAGAAATGCATAATGTTGAAGGAGTACGAGTCAAGCTTAATGGTTAGCATGTCTTACTGCAAAATGACCTTTCTTCTTCAAGGCCTACTAGATATTAAATATTAGAATCCAGTGCCCATCTAGTTGATTAGGCTACTAACAAGAACTATAGGCTTCTGCCATCACTTGTTTTTTGTACTTCAGCAAATAAACTTCAGTCACTCTAGACCACTAGACCTTCCCATAAATGTCAACATTAACTTTAAGGAATTCAAGGCCATGTACCAAAATAAACCTAGCACTTTTTTTTTCTTCTGAACTGCAACTTCAAGTGCAAAGACTTAAAAATTTGTCTAGCCTCCACCAAGGTATTGGTGTCCTCTTTGGACTCTGACCCATAAGCCTATTCTCAGAAGTTAGTTCTGGACACTGACATGATTTTAAAGATTACAGACAAACTGTTTAAATGAAATGGTGCTATTTCATTATACTTGAAGTGACTATACTAAACAATAATGCAATATTTTAAATTGTGGGATTCCATAAGTTAGTATTTGAACAGCCTAAACTCCTACTTGCTGGACATTAGATTTAATGAAAATCTCACCATGAACTCTCCAGGTCGGTTTCATTTGCTGTCTTAAAACAGACAGATTGTTGTATGCAAGAACAGCAGCATCTAATGCATTAACTCCTTCCCAAGGATAAGCAGCAGCATGAGAAGCTTTTCCATAGTATTTCACAGTCACACTAGGAAATAAAAGGCATTGCTTATTTGTTTTTCATTCACCAAAAAAACCCTCCAAAATAAAAAGTTCCTTTTGTTCACACAAATATTTGTTATTTAAATTTTGTGCAGCAGAAAGCAAACAATTTACCTGGCACTACACTGTTGCAAAGTTGAACTACCTTTGAGTGCAGGAAGATGCTGAAATATTTCTAAAAAACCAATGAAATGGAACAGTATCAAGAGCTAATCAGGCAAAAGAACTACCAGTAACATACCACTATACAGCCATTCCCTGAGAAGTACAGGCTTCACACACTAATTAAATGTCTCCAACACTTTTTTATACCTCCTGACTGTTTCGAGATTTAAAGCTGCCAACGTTCTTCTCAGAGGTAATAAACCCTTTTCTCAGATTCAGAATTAGAAGTTGATTGTCCTAATTCTTGTCAAGCTTCAATAAAACGTGTATGGTATATAAGACAGCAAAAGCACATTGCTAAGATCCCATACAAGCCACATCTAAACAACAAAAGTCAAGTTTTAAAAGTGCAGTAAAGGCATAGCCTAGTATAAAATATACATTTACCATGCGACAAAAAGTGCAGTAAAGGCATAGCCTAGTATAAAATGTTATATAAACATATAATAAACATATAAAATATGCAAGGATGTTCTTTCCCTGCACACCTCAAAAATGCTGCCAGAAAGGCTTGCAACAAAGAAGAAACCTAGTGCAAAGGTTATCCTCCAACTTTGTAGAAGTCAAAATACTGCAGCACCTAAACATATCTAGTAAGAATTCATGCTTGGCTTCATCTTATAAGGGCCACTTGTTAGCCTTACAAAATAATTTAGTATTTCAAATTATGTGAAAACTCTTTACACAAGAGGCTAATATTAAATACTGGCAACTACATAAGGTATTACTACTTATCAGAACACAAATACTAGGTTTTATCAATACTAGAGATTTTAACTACGTCTGTTTGTGCTCAGTACAGGGTTCTTTACACAAAAACTCTGTCCTCAGGCTCAAAGAGTTCCCCTCAAGACGCACAACCTGTCTCTTACCCAGCTAGGACCAGCCTAACTTGTTTGTCCTTGTGTCTTGCACAGATGCCAGCTTAACCACTTACCCTGAACTGAGCCCCCTGTGCTCTGAACCACGCCACAGCTGTAAGTTAATACCAGAACTTAAATACTGGATAGCAAAGAGGGACACAATAGAGTGTACTGTTGCAGCAGAAAATGTCTCCTGCTACTGCCTGCAATCCAAATTAAGTACGCCCTTTTCCATTCTCCCTCATACGCCAAGCCAACCCCACATCCCCTTCTGAAAAGTGTGAGTTTTATTTAAAATGTATTATCATTATTAAATCAAGATAAGAAAACTTATCCATTAACATCCCAAGTATTAGACTGCAACCCCTCAAATCAACTCACAAAGAAGGCAGGACAGATCCCTAGATACTCTCCAAAAAAATGGAGAGAAGGCAAAGTAAACCAGAAAGTCATGTTGCAATCTTCCTCTCCCCCCCGCCCCCCAAGAAACATGTGCTTCTTAAAAAAAAAAATGTTATTTCAGCATTCCTTTTCTTGTACTTCTATTGCTACACAAATGTCATATACGCTCAGAAAAAAACACTGGATTTTAGTGAATCAAGAAACCCTAAGCCAGTTTTAAGAATGTTAGCAGAAGAATGGGGATCCTGTTTGACCAACAATAAACAGGCTGATTACGTGAAGGATAAGTGAATAAGAATCAGCAAATTTTGGCATGTATTCATCACAGTTATCCCAGTATGTTAATTGTACTTCAGGCATAAGCCAGCTTTGGAGTTTGCAGATGTAGTAATTATAGCAATTTAGCGATCACCAGTCCTTAAATTCCTTGGAAACAACCAAAAGATCAACTACAAGTCACCAAAACAGTCTTTGTCCCTTTGGAATCTCATAATTAAATAAATCATGTTGTAAGCAGAGTATTTCAAGCTCTTGGAGGCAGTAAACTGTTTCACTCAGTACTTCCAATTCCATAGCTCCACATGCAAGGCTTAAACGTTATCTAGGACTTGCATCCTACAGCAGAACATCACCTCTGAAGGGAGATTTCCAAATCTTAGAAGTATCAAAGGCTACTGCAAGAGTTGAAATGAACAGAAAGACAAAACTGTTCATGAAAACCACACCTTGAAGATTATATAGTCTTAAGGTACAGCAACCAAAAGCCAAGCTGCAGTAAGTCTTGAAAGATTACAATAACCATTTAAGACTCTTTAGACAGAATGATGGAATATAGCAGAGAGCTAGCTAGGTAAGGAAGACTAGGTATTGCTAACCTTGTGTGTTTTATCATAAAACTCAGCATTAAGATAAGCAAATTATCCACCAGAAACAGCACTGGCAAAAGCAAAATGACCAATAAAATCAAACACATTGCAGCTGGAAGGTAGCATAACCAAGATGAAAACAGCTCTCAGTACATCAGGTCAGAAATTGTTGGAAAACCAGTTAAGTATTACAGATTTTAGTCAGAGACAGCCAAACATAATACTGGGAAAAAACTGTTGCACTGAAGGGAGGTTACTAGTGGAGTTTCTACAAGACAAGACCTTGGGATCAGGAATCATTAGTAACCACGGCATAAAATGTAATAACAAAACCTGCTGATAGACTACTGCTGGGACACTAGGAAAAGATAAGGGGTTTATAATATCAAAGGAAGAACAGCATGGCCTTGCAGACTGGCAGAGAAAGAACAGAATGAAGCTCTAAAATATTTTAAAAGATCACGTACCTACAGACTAAGCATTTGTCTAAGAGTTGTTTGCTTGAAAAATGACTGAAGAGGAAGCCTCAAGCATGCCAGATATCTCCAAAATGGTAAGGAGACACTATGGTCACAGCATCAGCTGAGTTTAAGGAAATTCCACCTGTTGCACTGTGCACAGTTCTGGATATGCACATCCAGCAAGGAGTACTTGCAAGGCAAGTCAAGTCATTCCAAGTACAAATGAACAAGTGCTGACACTGAACAGCAGGGCTAATCCAAAGAAAAGGTGTGACTTCTGAAGAGTTATATGGCTATCTGGCAAAACAAAAAGCTGAGTGAGGGTATGACTGCTGTCTGTAGAAATATATTGGGGGTAAACGTGAAGGAAAGCCAAGAACTACTTTGAATCAAAAAAGCTGATGTGAGAGTCAATAGATGTAAAATGGCCGTGGTTAAATTCAGGCTGGAAGTTAATAATGATCCAAACAGCAGACAGGCTCAGCTGGCTGGTTCTTTCAAAAGTGGGAGAGGAATCCTGAAACACTTTCAAAAGAGATTACAATAAAATGCATACAGAGGACTACATGAGCTGGTGCCCAGGAAAGCAGGGAACCAGGATACACAAGACTCCCTTCAGTTGCACGTTCTAAAATTTAAAGAACAAGTGTTTTTTAAATGATACTTTTTTTTTTTTTACTAGGTAAGGTAATCACATGCATGCATAGAAGGAAATGCCTAGAAAGACCAGAAGAAAGAATGGACTTCGAGAACACGTGCAAGACGATCTCAGAGCGGTCAGGGATCTGCATAACACAGACGCTGCACGCTGGAAGAACGGCTCAGTGTCCAGAAGAGTGACCTTAGCTGACCGCAAATACTTTTTTGTCTGAAGGGCACCTGCAAGGTCCCCGGCCCTAAGTTCAGCCCCTTCCCCTTCCAAAGCAGCTCCCCTGCCCGGGGAGGGGAGAAAGGGCCAGCACCAAGCCAGCCCTTTCCACCTGAACCCACTCACTCACTCGTGCTCGGCCACATCGGGCAGGTAAGCCGCGTTCTCCTGCGAGGGGTGCGCCATAAAAACCACGTCCAGGCCCTCAAACGCCCCGGCGTTTATCAGGTCTATTTTGCCGCCTCCTTGCTCCTCCGCAGGCGTCCCCAGCACCGCGATCTGCAGCACAAACGCAGCGAGAGTCAGGGCCCGGCCGACCG